GTATAGAAGCTATATCTTCTAAGTACTCTTGCTCTATAACACCTAATTAGCTTTAAAGTTGTATTCCTCTAGAAACTCTATAATATTATGCCCTTTAAACTTTAGCGCATTTATATTAGTAGGCTTAAACTAGCCCCTATACTTAAAACCTATTTCCTGCGAAGAATGCAACAGAGTATTAGTACTAACTATATTATTCGCCTTAAACAATTAACTCGCCTTAAGTTATTAGGGGTTTTAATAATATGTTAGTAATAAAATAGACTTTACTATCTTATCTTTTAAACGTAGATTGTAATTATAATTTTAGCTTTACGCAAAATGCTTAAGCAAATTAAAGTAATTACTAATAGCTTCTTAAACAGGACTGCCTTAAATCCTTATAGTAGTAGTATCTCTTACCTCCTACTTAAGTAAAGTATCTCCTTTATACTATGCGCTAATTACTGCCTTAAATAATAAGCCGCCTTAGCTAGGAGCATTAACTAATACTTATTTAGGAATTAGTTTTGCAAGGGATACTTCCTAGATTTCCTTTTAAAGTATAGTTGTAAGCAAGTTGCTGCAGGCCTTCTACAGGAACTTACTCTGCCCTTACTGTACAGAAAGCCCTTAAATAAGGGGTAACTGCCTTAGCTACTACCTTAACAAGTTTTTAGGGTTAGCTTAATACCTAACTCTACTTAACTCTAGGTACTAATAACTTCGCGCTAAGGTTTTCCTGCTTTAGGATCCCTTAGTTTCCTTATAAATCTATCTTTTTCTCCTGTTCTACTAACAAACTGTTGTGCGCCCCCTAGTTAGGTTACTAAAAATGTAGCACACTACGATGCGCATTTAAATAGAGGAGGCAGGCGTTAACCTGTAGTTAGTAGAACGTGTAATTTGTATTTCTAGTATTTTATTACAAGCTAGTGTTAGTACCTCTCTCCTTCTCTACTTATCTAAACTATAATACAGCCTCGCTGCTAAAGATATCTATTACGTACTAACTTACTACACTACACTATTAAATATAAATAACAAGAAGAAGGTATATAAATGTTATAGACTAGCTTTAAGATTATTCTATTTTAAGTATAAATAATAGTATTATATACTTTAAAGAAGTACAGAAATTTCTAGCTACTTATATAGGGGTTTATTGCTAAAGTTTGCCGAGGTCCTT